ATGGTGGAATTCAAAACCATTAAAGGCCTATCTAAACATAGTAATACCCCTAAAAATAATGCTAAGGATTGACATACACATCATAAATAAAGAAAAAAAAAGTGATTAAAAGAAAAATATTGAGTGGGGAGAAGCTTGAGGACAAGCCTAATCAAAATTTAGTTTCACTAGATTCTTCTTAAAGTTGAAACATTATTAAATTCCTAAGCTTATGTGTAATAAACATGTATTTGTATTTCTTTTTAAAATGGAGTGTTAAATTATATTTTTCCACCATTTAAATTACTTTAGTTAACATTTATTAATTGCTTTGTGAATTGAGTAAAAAATCAAGTTTTTTTAGTTAAATGAAAGGTTTATTTTTACCTTAGGGCTAGACTTGTCTACCAGGGTTAATTTAAATTTGTACTACGAGTTTTCTTGATGTAAATTTGTTGATAAATTTAATTAATCACACTTCCTCAATTTAATAGATTTGGTTTTAAAATTCTAATAATACTTGAGGACAAGTAACTTTTAAGTTTGGGGATTTTGTTGTATAGAAAAGCATGCTTACTTCTATTTATATTTTGCACATTTTTATGAATGAAATTGCACTTTAAAGAATGTTATTTTTTTTGTTTCTCTTATAGATACAACATGTAGTAGAAGTGAATTGAAGTGGGGAATAAATGGAGCGAAGCGAAGCTGATATGAAGCAGTTGGAGATTTAAGAGACATGCACCTAGGCGGGCATCAAGGCGCTCCTAGCAAGCACCTTAGTGCCACTTACCTGGGTGCTTAGGCCTCAATGCACAACACAACAGACAGAGAAACCAACGACTAGGCTCCAGTTCTGTGGCCTTTAAGCGCTAGTCCAGTGGCCCCTAAGTGTCATAACCGCTCTTCATGACATGAGGAGTTATTTAACATATTAAAAGTAGTTCTTTGTGAAGAATTAGAGGAGGATTTTTGTGGAGAAGAAGTAGAACAGCAGGGTTTACTGTAGGAAAGAATTAGGGTTTTACTTAGAGAGTTTTGTGATATTTGAGAGGTGTATTGTGAGAAGGGAATTCAACACGACAGTAAGGGTCTAGGAGATCCTAGGAGAGCATTTTTAGAGCATTATGAAGAGGAAGAAGCTAAGTATTATGCATTTCTTTTATTTTACTTTTACAAAACACAATTACCAATTGGATTTACTTTCTGTTAAAGACGTTCTGTGGTGTTTTTTCTATGCTTTGTGAGAAGTCTTTTCACCTTTCTCTTGTAATAATTGTGTTAGTTGCGTACAAATTTTAGAATGCTTTTAGAATTGGGTTTCAATCTTTAATGTGATGAGTATTCTTTCAATATTTTTTTACTTTTCATTCTGGCCAAGTGATTCATTAAAATATATTGTGATCCTCAATGAATCGAGAGAGCTATGGAAAAATGACTAGAATATTCATGTTGAACTATACGATATGAAGAAAAAGTAAACTATAGAGAGATGCAAATAGATAAGAAAATAATCTTTGATGGGTTCAAATTGAGGTTTAAGGAATTAAAACTAGTTTAAGAAAACTTATTTACGAACTCAGAAGAGGGTAAAGAAGAGAATTGCTTCTATTTGTCACTAACCACAATTAAAATTTTAAGTATTCATTTCCCTATCCCTACACACTACTTATATCATTGTAAGGGAGAGTAATTTTATATATTGAATTTCATCAATTCAAATATATTTAGTAGGATTTCTGTAGAAGTAAACCTTCAATAGTAGTTTGTTGTTTTGTAGAACTAGTTAGCACAACTTAAAACCAACTTTACTTCCAGGCTAAGAATAATTTTAGTAGGCTAGAAATTCTCTTAAGTCTACCTACCTCACTCCATATGGGATTGATATTTTAGACTCAAAATCCAATATTATGAATGCCATAAGTACACTTGCGTTAGAGCCCTTGCACTTAGAATTAAGGTGTGTCAAGATTTACAAAATTCTCTTCACAATATTGGCTGGTTTGTATTAGAGGTCTAACAATATGACAAAATCTTACACACATCAAGTTCTGATGGTTCTTGGTGCTTTTCTCAAGTTTGTAATCCTACTAAAATTGGGTTACTTAAATTATGTTTAGGATCTAGTTCAGCTGAAGGTGAAAGGAAATATATTTGTGGAATGAGATTGCAAAATTTTTATTTGGAGAGACTAAAGAGGCCCTATTTTTTATTTGCAAAAGGTTTCTTGAGGTGAACATGTATGGCTCATTGGCTAATTTCTAAAATTCTCTTCACAATGTTGGATGGTTTGTATTAGAGGTCTAACAATATGACAAAATCTTAGACACTTCAATATCTCATGGTTATTGGCACTTTTCTTAAGTTCGTAATCCTACTAAAATTGGGTTTCTAAATATATATTTAAGATTCAGTTCAAGCGAAGGTAAAAGGAAAAAAATTTCTTGGAATGAGACTCCAAAGATTTTATTGAAGAGACTATAAATGCCCTATCATTGATTTGCAAAGGTTCCTTGAGGTAAATTTGTATGGTTTAGTGTCTAATTTTTAAAATTCTCTTCACAATGTTGGTTGGTTTGTATTAGAGGTCCAACAAAATTACAAAATTTTAGACACTTAAATTTTTTATGGTTCTTGATGCTTTTCTCAAGTTCTTAATCCTACTAAAATTAGGTTCCTTAAATTATATTTAAATTCCGGTTCAAGTGAAGGTGAAAGGAAAAAAAAAACTACGGAATGAGACTTTAAAATTTTTATTCAGAGAGACCATAAAGGCTCTATATTTTATTTACAAATGGTTTCTTGAGGTAAATTTGTATGGTTCGGTGGCTAATTTCAAAAATTCTCTTCACAATGTTAGCTATTTTGTAGTAGAGGTCTAACAATATCACAAAATCTTAGACTGAGAGTTATCAATCTTCTAAGAAATTAAGCTTCCTATAACTTGGATTAAGAAAATTAGAACCACCCTTTTTTAGGCTCCTTTCATCATGAAGTTATCTAAGAGTGCAAATCCCAAATGAAATTTCCTTCTTCTTGAAGCTTTTTTGTTTCAACTCTTCAAGTTACTGTGCTGTACATTTTGCTTTGTGTTTTACAAATGCTTATGAACAAGTTTTTGACAAAATTGTTAAGTTATTATGAACAGTTTTTTGACAAAAATAAGGGGTATAAAGTTTAGAAGGCAACTAGAAAATACTCCATTTTGAGCTAGCTATGAGGGATTTCAATAATAATCTACCTTTCCAAAGAATAAAAGAGACACGAGTTTATCTATTATCAACGTTCTTAATTCTATTTGTTTGATGAAAACTATTTGGTGACTTCTTTAAAATTACTTCTTTGTATTTTATGTGATGTCGTAATTCTTATGATAGCATTTGCAATCACAATTTGAGGAAAATCTCTCTTTCAAAGGAGTTGCAACACATTAAAGCTATTATGCAATGTTAGCTTTTATTTGAACTCGCAAAATGATTCATGATTTATTTTTTCAATGTCAGTTAAGGGCAGCACAATGAGGGAATTTACATGAGTATGAATTCTCTCTTTAATCATTCTAAAGAAGAGAACTTAACACTTCAATCTCTGATGGTTCTTGGTGCTTTTCTAAAATTCATAATCCTACTAAAATTGGGTTCCTTAAATTATAGTTATGATTCAGTTCAGGTGAAGGTGAAAGGAAAAAAATTTGTTGAATGAGACTCCAAAATTTTTATTTGGAGAGACTACAAAGGCCCTATCTTCGATTTGCAAAAGGTTTCTTGAGATAAATTTGCATGGTTCAGTGGTTAATTTCTAAAATTCTCTTCACAATATTGGCTGGTTTGTATTAGAGGTCTAACAATATGACAAAATCTGAGACACTTCAATTCTTGATGGCTGTTGAAGCTTTTTTCAAGTTCGTAATACTATTAAAATTGAGTTCCTTAAATTATATTTAAGATTTGATTTAAGTGAAGGTGAAAGGAAAAAAAATTATGGAATGAGACTCAAGAATTTTTATTTGGAGATACTACAAAGGCCCTATCTTTGATTTGCAAAAGGTTTATTGAGTTAATTTTGTATGGTTCAGTGGCTAATTTATAAAATTTTCTTCACAATGTTGGTTGGTTTGTATTAGAGGTCTAAAAATATGAAAAAATCTTAGAAACTTCAATTTCTGATGGTTCTTGATGCTTTTCTTAAGTTTGTAATCCTACTAAGATTGGGTTCCTTAAATTATATTCATAATCCGGTTCAGGTGAAGGTGAAAGGAAAAAAATTTAGGGAATGAGGCTCTAAAATTTCATTTTGAAAGACTACAAAGGCCCTATCTTTGATTTGCAAATGGTTTCATAAGGTAAATTTGTATGGTTTAGTGGCTAATTTTTAAAATTCTCATCACAATGGTGGCCGGTTTGTATCAAAGGTCTAACAATATCACTAAATGTTAGACTGAGAGTTATCAATCTTCTAGCAAATTAAGCTCCCTATAACTTGAATTAAGAAAATCAGATTCACCCTTTTTTGGGCTCCTTTCATCATGAAGTTATCTAAGAGTGTGGATCCCAAGTGAAATTTCTTTCTTCTTGAAGCTTCTTCGTTCCAACTCTTCGAGTTACAGTACTGTATATTTCCCTTTGTGTTTTACAAAAGTTTATGAACAGGTTTTTGACAATATTGTTGTACTCTTATGAACAAGTTGTTGAGAAAAGCCGAAATGCCCATTTTGCTTTGTGTGTTAAAATAAAATTTCAGGCAGCTACTAAGACCAAAAAATTGGAAAACTAAAGAGAATTAACTTTTCGAGGTTCATATTTATAGCTTGTTTTTGTTTTATCTCATGGTGTTGCACTTTTTGGCTAGCTTGATTTTGTTGTGCGTGATTCCACAATTAAAACTAGCCATCAAGTTTTTGCATTTTTAACTAAAGCTATATGACAATGTTTTATGCCACAGCTGAATTACTATATTAATGTGCAGCAAAATGCATTTTTAATAAAGTTATATATGAATGCAACTGCAATTTATAATGCTGCATATGAAGATTTTTATTGCTATCAGATGATACACAACTCTTTTTTATCAATTTAGGCGATTAAGAAGATAATCAACTTCCACCTGCTTTGTAAATGGAATCACCCATTCTTGATACAGCTTAGAAGCTACATACGGATCCACTTTGTATTTAATTTCATTTCCTTTGCTTTTGTCTCCCGTTACATTATTATTTCCTAAATTTACGATCTGCCCAAATATCTCAGCCTTCTTAAACACCCTTTTTACCACTGCTTCTTCAACACTGGTAAATGTTAGCAGAGTCAGCAGAGTTTCTCTATCCTGCATTCATGAATAATAAATATTTATTACATGAAAGATTATATAAAGTTAACTGCATTCATGAATAATAAATATTTATTACATGAAACTATGAAAGATTATATAAAGTTAGTACTTTTATTAATAAGAGATGGAGGGGAGACGAGTAACCTTAGCCTTTATAGCAGGTATATAGTCATGAGGTGAATCTCTGAATTTAATCTCGGCTACATATCTGCCATAATGAATTCTTTTGGAGAGAGCCTGTTTAAGCATAATAATTCTAAATATGAATGAAAATATTTCAAAATGGAAGTAATTAATCTGTTTAAATTAAAATATGAACATTCTTACTTGCAAACATATAAGATCTGATGCTGCAATTTGTTGATAATTTCCATCATCTGCTTTTGTGGTGAATAGTGGAAGCAAGTCATTCAAGTACATATCCCATATTATCTTACTAACATTGGTTGAAGCAGCAGGAGGATACAAGAACTTTGGAAAGATAAGCTGCATTAGCCCTTAATTACAGATGACTAATGTATTGATTAGGATTAGAGAAGGATAATTACATTTGGAAATTTGTGGGGAGGTGCTAAGCGAGGTTGTGCATAAACTGGAAAGAATGGAAGCTCCTCAGGGTTCTGATACCTCCCAAACTGTAGAAATGTGTGTTTACAAAGTCGTTGAAATAGAACATTTTACTTTACAAAAAGAAAGAAAAAAAGAAAACATTTTAATTCACCAATATTGTTTTTTGCACCAGATTTGTTATCTCGTTGATTAAAAAAATCAATATTTACATTTATTGACCATTTCACTAAGGAATTTCGGCAAGCTAATTCTGTCTGTTTCTGACCATAGCTTTACATTTATTAAATACATGAAAATAAACCACATTTCATTTACATTTATCTAAACAAATGGTTTTTACAAACTGAAACCCCCAAAATTCAAG